AATCCCGGTATTGATGGGGTGACTGGTGAATTCCGATAAGTTAGGTCTGTAGAAGGTTATATTCTTTCTTTCTATCTGTTAGTCATATGTTGCCTCCTCTGCGTGATCGAAAGATCCGACCTGGAATGTAACATATGCAACTCTATCTCTCTGCATCTTCTATCTATGCAATTCTTTCTGTCTGTTAGTCATATACTGTCTCCTCTGCGTGACTTTCAATCCGACCTGGTACACAGTATATGCATCATTCTCTTCTCAACCTCTCTAAAACTTCAGTTAGTCATATGTTTCACCCTCTGCGTGATTGGAAAAGATCCGACCTGGGTGTAAAGCATATGCATTCTAAATCTATCTTCTCTCTTAATAATTGTCTGCTCACCCGATGTAAGGAGTATTTTGGAAGTCCTTGATTACTGGAGCATATCAGGAAGCGGGAAACATGTTCTGGTACAATTAAAATTGAACATTTACAGATTGTCTGTAGATCTCGCTGCTCAATTTAGGTGGACAACAATATCCCTGGTCGTCGTCAGCTAAATGGTCCCTAGAAAAATTTATCTAAGGATAAAGGCTCAAAATGTCTTGTCTTTCTTAGCTTGTCCCAATTTGTCATAAACTTTTCGTGTTTAAGTGGACCGCAATACCAGCGATCGATCAGACAAAGACATGAAGATAAAGGTACCGACAAGTGGATTAAGGCTGTCTAACAACTTTGATCCCAGTGTCACAAAAATTATACTCCGTGATTTTTTGAGATAAATTTTAGTCTGCGTTTATATTATCTCAATTTTATTTTATTTTTAATTTTTAATTTAATTTTATTTTTAATAATTGTCAAAATTTAAAATTTTAAATTCGTAAATTTTAGAAATTATTTTATTTTTTATTTTAGTTTATTTTAATTTTATTTTTATTTTTAAAATCCTCAAAAGGTTTTATTTTTGATAAATCATCTGCAAATTTGGACTGTGCCTTATACTGTGTGGAGGACAGGTAAATTTTGAACAGGGTATAAAAGGTGGAGGTTACAGCCGGAAACCCTTCCCACCTCATTTTCTTCTCTTCCAGCCGTAAACCCTCCCATACTCTCTCTCATCTCGAATTTTTTTTTTGTGTGTTTTTGCAAAATCGTTCCGTTCATCTTAAAGGTATGATGAAACCGACCATGGGAATGCATTCTGTTCATCGAATCGACTAATATTGGGGGTTTAATCGAAGTTTTAAGATCGTCGGCGTTTACGGCCCAAGCTTACGGCCAGGAGTTTACGACCGTAAACTCCGTTTACGGCTAGGAGCTTACGGCCATGGGTTTACGGTCGTAAACCCAATTTTGACCGTAAACCCCCTTTGACCGTAAACTCCAATTTTAACCGTAAACCCCCTTTGACCACTTTTGACCGTAAACTCAATTTTTGACCGTAAACTCCAATTTTTTGATCAAAATATTTTTTTTTAAAAAGGGGCCAAAATTAAATTGATTAATTAAGAAAACTTAAAAACTTTAATTGCTCAAATATTCTTGTTTTCTTACTTGGCTTGTTTTAGTGCAGACAAATGGCGAGTTTGAAGTTTGCTGACATGCACAACCTGGCCATCATCCTGGTAGATCCTCCTGCAGTTCATGGAGAATTCAGATCGATGATCCACAGACTGCGAGAATGCTGCCTAGCTTCTGCCCTAACTGTGAACCCAGTGGTCTACCAAAGAATTATCAAGGAGTTCTAGCAGACTGCTAAGATGACTAGAGATGACGATGGTGCAGTTACTGTCAATGCTACTGTGAAGGGTTGCCAGATTGTGATTACTGAGCAGTTTGTCAGAGAAGCACTTATGATTGATGATCAACCTGATTTTCCCACTGATATCGGGATCGAGGATGTGCAGAAGATTCTCAAGAAGATGGGGTACGAAGGCATCTTTCCTCCTACTGTGAAGAAGCTTTTGCCTCCATACTGGAGATTCCTAGCTCATGTCTTTGTGAGCTGTATCTCGGGCAGAAGGTCAGGTGCTGATGAAATATCTCTGAGGAACACTGGGACAATTGTTTCACTAGCTGCAGAAATCCACTTCAACTTCTCAAAGTTCATATTAGATGAGTTCGTAGTTAACATCAACGCAATCCACCGGGATACTTTCTTGATGTATCCCAGGTTCATCCAACTATTCATCAACATTCAGTTCCTAGAGATGGTCAAAGAGGGAGAAACCCTAGATATGAAGTCGTTAGGTCCCCACACTGTTGGCCTCATTAAGCAGAATCACAAGGGCAAGGTCGTCTTCCAAGGATTGCATCCTCTTGTGAAGTTAGGAAGATTTGCTGAGTTAAATGAATCTTCCGAGTCTCATGGAATGTCAGACAAAGTTTCTTCTGAGCCCACTTCTTCTGAGCGAGTCATTTCGGAAGATGATGTTATTACAGTGTCAGATCAGCTGAAGAAGAAGAAATTCCAGCTCCTAATGCACAAGTAGCTGAGGAACATGAGCTGACATCTATTCAGGTCCAAAGTGACTATAATGAGGGGTCTTCAAAAAGCAGAACGGAGACTGATTTATATGAAGACCTCGATCTTACCGGTTTCGATAAGGATGGAATTCCTTTAAATTTTGGTAGCAATGAAGACTTCATAACCGGTGAAACCCTCAACATGATACCTGACAATATCGATGAAGTTGCTCATCCAGCAACGGAGATAAGGGAGACTGAAGACGTTCTCAAAGCCACGCCTCCTTCTACCAATCCAATGATGGAAACAACAATTCCTATGGTGACAGTGTCGAGGATTCCTCCCCTTGATGTTGCTTCACCTACATCCGAGCCATTAGAGAGTGATCGCACAACAACGCAGGCCTTTCAACCTCCAATAAAGAGAAGAAGACTTGACCCTAGACAGGGAATCCCTGATTCGGGTGTATTTCAAAGTTTTTAAACTCCACCAACAACCACTCCCGCTATCGTTTCATCTGAACCTGTCAGTGAAGGTCCTAGCACCTTCTATGAAGCTGGTGGTTCCTCCTTCCCCACAGGTTTCTCTCCTCCCAGGGCAGATCATGACGCTGCTTCTGTGAGGTTAGCCATGCATTTGTCTGAAGAACAATTCACAACGCCTCCCTCACGTGGTAAAGGAATATCTATTGGGGATGGCAGCTCTGGAGAAGAGAATCCTACAATCCTTGGACTTCAGAAGGAGATCGGTGTGCTGAATCAGAAAAATATCGAGCTTGATATCAAGGTTGCAGACCTTCAAACTGAGAACGCCAAGCTTAATATTCAAGTTGCTGATCTTCTTGAAGATAAAGCTCTGAAGACGAAGCAGATCACTGATCTTCAGACGCATTTTGGTTTGTTGATCGCCAGCTATTATGATTTGAAGAAGAAGCTGGAAGAAGAACTTGGTGATAAATTCAAGTCATCTGTCGATGAGCCAAGGGTCTATCTTCCCAATCAAGATGCTCCCATAGTTCCACCACCTACAAGAACAACCACGATTGTCGATCGTTTTGACAAAGAGCCAGCGCAGGCTCCTAATGTCGTGGCGTTAAAACGTGCTAAACTGGCCAAGTCTACTGAGAAGGGTCAGTTTTTGTTCAAAAGGAGCTCTGATCATAATGCTCCCGGGGATCAACCAAACATCACCTTTACAGATCTTGGAGAAAATCGCTTCAGGGACGTATATGGTGATAGGTCAGGGATCATCTCATGGGGATTCCACGACACTCTGAACATGTGGATCGTGAGAAGGAAGAGTGGCAATACCGAATTGTATAAAGATGCTCACGACTTCCACTCTTGGATCAGGATTGATCTTACAGAGTTATCTAAGGCTCCTTTTGCAAATCCGTCAAATGAACCCAAGGCGACACATTTCAAGTTATTTTTGGAAGATCAATTGGCAAAGGGCTTTCCCTCAATGAAGACTGCAGAGTCTATTATCAAGATATACCCGAGTGTCATTGATCCCAAAACCAATCAGCCTCTTCGGTCTGTGATGTGGCCCGCTACTAATCAAGTAAAGCAGATTCCTATCCTTCAGAACCATCCAGATGGATCTCTAAAGTCCATGCAATACTGGGTGTTTGATGAAACTACAGTTTCCGTTGTCATCAAACTTGAACATGGATGTATTCGCTTATATGACAAGAGGGATCTGCTACAGTTTGGAAAATGGGATATACATCAGCTTTCTCATCATCAGATCAAGGTGGTTGAAGATCTTTTTGAGTCTGCTGCTAAGGAGTACACTGCCATGGTTGCTGATATTATTCAAAAGGAGATGTGGAATGGAGCTATGGGAAAGTCAGACGTGCTGGTGGTTGATAAAGACTGAGTCCAAGCTAGCACCAAACCAAGGGGGAGATTGAAGGGTCCAATTAATGGTTTGGTCTAGGCTTTCATTGTACTTGTTCATTTGAGTCTTTAATGTCATTTTGTGGGTTGTTTAGCAGTTTATGGCCATATGGTGAGTTTACGGCCGTAAGCCTGTTTACGGCCATAAACCCTGTTTGCGGCCCAAGTCTAGTATAAATAGAGGAGTTATAGGTCATTGTAAAGTTGATGCAATAGAGTTCACGGCCAGTATATCGAGTTGTACCAGACGTTTTCAGTAATAAACGTGTGCAAGCTTGATTGATCGATTTCTCTTCTTCTTCTACTATTATTCTGATTGCTTGTGATTGTTTGATTGCCTTGATCATTGGTAAAGATCCTTTTCAGGACCTTACACATACTTTTTGACAACTGTATTACATATTTACATAAAGTAGTAAAAGGTCTAAAATGACTCTAAAATGAGTTTTTTGATATTCAGGAATATGATGACTGTTGATGCACAATGTTACAAGGCAACTTTAACTGTAACAACAAGATTATCTGTTCCTTTTAACAATCTGGCGATAATATACAAGCAGCAGGTAGCAAAATCTCTCTCTCTCTCTCTCTCTCTCTCTCTCTCACTCACTTTAAATCAATAAGGACACTTGTCAAACAAAAAAACTTCTAGATCATGAGTTGGTATGAATTCCTTGTGCTTTTGAAAAATGATTGGTACCAAAATCAGGTCTTTGCTGTGAATTGGTATGTTTGATGTTTGATCATTTACACAATGTGTTAACCACATTTTGTTGTTCAGGTCTTTGCCACCATTGGCCAAAAAGTATGTTCTCCAGTTGTTGTACATAGATGTACCTGTGTCAGCTAGTTCATTGCAAGAATGGGTTCTTGTTGATGGTGCTTCAAAGCATAGAGTTACTATTGATAGACTCATTCAATTGAGAGTATTTACTGAAACTGTTGATAGGTACATGTTTTTGCTTAATTCCCTTTTACTTTTTTATTTTCCAAACAGAGTTCCCTTCACCTATCTGGTTTATTAAACCATTATGATTGACAACTTTTGGAAATGCCATTTATTGTGTATGGCCAATTGATGTTAGTTAAATAGTTGAGTAACTTTGATTTTCAGAATTTTCAATCTTAAAATATGTTGTGGTATTTATTCATACTTGTAATTTTGATAATGGCAGTGAGTCTGAAATTGATGTATTTGAGGAACTCGATAAAAAAAGGCACGAAGAAGAGCTGGTATACCCTTTTTACATTGAATGCTCTGCAATCTATTTTACTTTAACCTATAAAAAAGGCATCCTGCATTTGTCTGTTGAGTTTGATTAATAATAATAAGTAAAATTGTGCAGGCTTTGGGGAAACAGGTGGTATCAGAACAAGGGGGGCCAAGTGGTGAACTCACACCTCCCCTTCCTTCTAGGCTTGTAACAGAAGATGAAATAAAATCATTCTGTGAGGCTATGAAGGCATTTGAAGTCCCAAAACCAGTTGTTATATCTGGCTATGGAGGTAAAAGGAAGAGTGAGCTTGGGAACTTGGACACACATAATTATGGAAGAGGAAAGCGAGCAAGGGAGGTTTGTTTGTTTTCCGACTTATATATTTTGGTGCATTTTGTTGTTTGAATCCATGTTATATTTTTTGTTATTACTTTACTTAGGTGCGATCTTATGAGGAGCAATGGACAGAAGATGAATTTGAGAAAATGTGTCAAGTCAAAGCACCAGAGTCACCAAACACCACCAAGGAAGAAGGGGACTTGGCTGGTGGACAGTAACCCAGTACACTAGGTGGCAAACCAATGTTATGGAGGATTTTTTTGGACATGATATCTGAAACAAGAAGGTGCCCCTTAATAGCGATGTAGTATTAGGGTATATAGTTAGGGAAAACCTTTTAATAAATATGTACAATCAGATGCCCTTAATATCAATGTATTACAATTTTTTGACATGATGTTATTGGATGAAATTGATTGTTTTGGTATATATTTGTTTCCATAATTTTGTATTATGTGTAAATGGGTATCGTAAAGACGTGTCGTAAATGGTTGCTGAAGTTTATGACACGCAAATGCATGTCATCTTCATTTATGACAGAGGCTTTAATGATACGCAATGCGTGTCCTAAACGCACGTCTTAAGGTTACGACACGCAAATGCGTGTAATCTTCCTTTATGACAGGGTCTTCCCTGACATGCAATGCGTGTCGTAAATGTGCTTCGTAAATGCGTGTCGTAATTGCGCGTCGTAAATGCGTGTCGTAAATAAACGACGCGCAAAAGCGTGTCGTCTTTCGTTATGACAGGGCCTTCCTTGACACGCATTTGCGTGTCGTCTGAGCGTTTTACGACACGCATTGCATGTCGTAAAAGGCTGTTTTTGTAGTAGTGCCTAATGACAATTGAACAAAATTGTAAGTTAGTTGAGTTTTTTTTAGACAAAAGGTTAAACTCGTTGGGTTTTTTTTAACATACAAAACGTAATTGAGATTTTTTTGAACAGTTTGGAATATTTGTTGGGCTTATAAGTCATTTTCCCTTTACTCCATACAAAATAGTGAAATACCATCAAAAAAACAAGCAACAAAAAGTATAAACACATTTGCACATTCAATTTCAATCATGCTAAAATTAAAATCCCTCATGGGCAAGTTCTTCTTGACATTTGACCCACGACAACCTTTCTTAAAACAACAAATAAAGTCACTCATTCACATCCTAATTGTCGATTGAGTTTTCAGTTAAATAGCATCAAGAAAGATCTGAACTCCGTGCTGGGGTCTAACCATAAAAAGTTGAACAGGAGAGTGAACGTAATTTGGTGACAATTTAAACGTAAATCTCTGCAAAATCATCACAAGTGCAATCTTGGCTTCCACCAGTGCGAAATTTAATCCTACACAAGTCCTTGGTCCGAACCCAAATGGCAAGAATGCTGCTGGTGTGTTCTTTGTTGCTTTAGCTATCCCCCCTTCAAACCTATCTGGCTTAAACATATGAACATCATCTCCCCATATTCTAGGGTCATGGTGAATCGCTAATGGCGAAATATACAGCTCCATGTTCGCTGGAAGGCTCATCTCCCCTAATCTAACTTCTTTCGCCACTTTTCTCTTTATAGCGGGAACTGGTGGGTATAGTCTTAAAGATTCTTCAACAATCATGTTCATCTAATTAACAACATATAAAAGAAAGATGGTTGATATATGTTACTGAACATTTGTGTTAAATAGAAAGAACCAATGAAGGGTTTTGTTTTATAATTACTGTTTTGAGTCTTGTGATTGAATCTTGATTAGGGTTTGTTTCTCCAAAGAGCTCGAAAACTTCTTTCCGAGCTTTTTCTTGCCAGTCTTGATGCATTGATAGAAGAAGAACAGTCCATCCAAGTAAAGATGTGGTTGTTTCATGTCCAGCAAAATAAAATGTTTTACACTCGTCCACCATATCATCTAAAGAGATCCGTTTCAGATCATCTTTATCACGAGAAGCTTCAAGTAGTTCTCCAAGAAAATCGCTTCTGATTGTTTCCAAGTTTCTTTCTTGATCTCGTTTCTGTATGATCTCAACAATGCAATCTTTGATTCCTTGTTCAAGTTTCTCTGATTCTATGTCATCATTGGTCTTGATCAAGTTGCTTCAAGAACAAATCGAGTAGTTGTACATGTTTAATTATCTCTAAAGATTGATTTGATCATAAGCATTTGTAAAGATCGATTAACCTGATGCCAGGAAGCCGGATTTTATGCGCATTCCTTGAAACAATCAGTGTTAACTTCATCAACATATCAAAGATTTTCTTCCCTTCTAAATAACTGCTTCCGAAAGCAGTCTTGGAAATGACTTCGGATGTTAATATTCTGAATTCTTGGAACACTTCGATTTCTTTCCCGTTGTACTCTTTCCACCTTTCAAGCATTGTTTCAGTGCTAGAAATCATCGCTGGAATCATGCTCTACATACGGTAAACTTCCATTAGTACACATGCATGTTTCTACTGGAAAAATTAATTCATCATTTCATGGAGAATATGGAAGTAAATGAGCAGTTACCTTTAAGCTTTCGGAATGGAAGACACCATTAGCGAGCTTTCGAAGCTTAGTCCATTTATCACCTTTGGTTGAAGAGAGACCATCTCCTAACAGCTTCTTTGCATGGCCTTCCAGTTCGATTTTTGGGTAAACATCATCTTTATTGTACAATATTTCTTTGATAAGTTCAGCTTCAGTAACCACCAATTGAGCTTGAGGACCATACCAATTCAAGAAATTCCTTCCTAAAATTAAACAAGAATTTCCAAACAAAACACGACAAACTAATTAATTAGCAACAAGATGATGAAAGTTTAATACATGAATCATGAATGGATATGAATTTGTTACCGTATAAGTTAACCCATGAATGAACATGAGGTAGAATTCTGGGGAAGATTTCGTGGGATAAATGATCCATGGGTCGACCCATGGATATTAATCGCATGTTCGAGATCTCTTTGGTGTTTCCATGGAAGAACATGTAAGAAGGGCCTTTGATTCCTTGAGATCTCATGGCATGTTGTATACGGATAGGCATCCACCACACTTTGTGAAGAAACTTAACGAGCATCATTATAACGTACAGGAACAGAAAACTGGCTGGAAAACCTGCTAGATATCCGATCAGTGGACCCATTTAACCCTTCAACCAGGTGCAGAAATCAGAAGTCTTTGATAATTAATTTTCACATAGTTGATGATTAGTGACCAAATCTAGTCGCCATATGATAAGATGTTCAAAAGTTATGAGTTAAATCTGTTAGTGATTTTGTGAATGGAATTTGAGGACGAATATTTATTTATTTGATATTTCATTTTTGTATATTGATTGTCTATTTGTTTTTGACAAGGAATTTAATTTATTTTTAATGGCATTTTTATATATAATATATCTCCTCTTGCTTATTGTTTTGGCGAGGGAATCTTCAAATTTTCTAAGAATTTATGAATATGAAATAGTCATTATTGTACTTTTCTTGACAATCACACCATTATTGAGAGATTACATGATCCGTGGTCCATGCATCCGAAGACATAAACTAAGGTGGTTTTTGTTTTTCTAAAAAAGCACTTCTAACCATTTATTTATGTGCCGCGCAACACTTGACATTTCGCAGCTGTTTGTTTTTCAGAAGACTTATGACTTAAAAACTATTGTGCGTGTGTTGCGTGGCGCATCATTTGACCATCTGATTCAAACTCTTTCATACCTTAGTTTAACTTATTGCAGCAGTCTGCAGAGATTAAAAAACAAACTTTTTATTACATGTTGCAGCCGTTTGGTCCACATCTTCTGCTACAGAGGGTTGCAGAGGTGGTCCGCAGACTTTAAACATTTTCGCTTCGAAAAAACAAACGACACCTAAGTGTTGATTTTATTATTTGCTTAAACACATATTCATTATTATATTTCTAAATCCATATATTGCACCTTTATGAATCTTACTAGATTTTTCTAAGATAATATCGTTTAACTGTTATTTTTAATGCATGTTGATTTAAATATCGAAAAACTTAAAACATGAAAATTGTAATCATTTTCGGTTTAAATTAGATCATTCAGATAAATTATGAATTTTATATGATTTTCTTAAAACAATGTCCTTTGTTCTTTTGAAAACGTATATTTTTATTGTTAAAACCTGGAAATTCTTAACATGTTGGTTATGTATATTGGAAAATCCAAAACATGAAAATTCAAGATTTATGTGTTATCTTTCCACAATAACTTGAATGGAATCAATCTGATATCGTATGGATTTATAAAAATTTATAAAACAGTATCACAATTGTTTGTGTTTTCAACAAAAATATATACAAATTTCTTGTCTGCAAATTTAGAATCAAATAATATATTTTTGAATGAAAGAAATCCAATAAAAAGGATAGCATTCAAAACTAAAAAAAAAACAGTTACATGATAGTGCTTTTTGGGTTTTGTAACCAACCAACCCAATTTATAGAGGATCTACGTCTATTATTAGACCAAAAAATGACTGGAACACAATAGAATCAAATAACAAGAGATTCTTTAAAACATGAGTTCCAAACAAAGAATCATTACGGAATCGCCATATGTTACTTGAAAGATGCCTTCAAGAACCTTCTTAACTTCCTTCTTTAAACAAATTGAAGCAAACCAAGATAAGCAATCAGCATAAGACGTCAACAACGAGATCGTGAAATCCCAATACCTAAACACCTGCAAGATCAATGACATGGCTATAGAATACGAAAAGTACAAGTGAGAAACAGACTCCACACCATTATCACATAAATGACACATGATAGAGGGAATCTCCATATCCTTCCTAGACAAATTAGTACGAGTGAGAAGGCTATCAATCACCAATATATCTCCGGACAAATTAGAATCAAATAATGTTTTATTATTTGAAGAGGTATTTCCATATAATCCAATAATAATGGATCAAGTACATCAAAACAATGCATAGAGTTTGTTGATGAATACTAATACATTCAAGAGTAAGTTGAAAAACCTAATTTAATTTTGGAATAATGTGTTTGATAAATAGTTAGAGGTTTTCTCAAAAGATCATTATGTATTTAGCTCTAAGAACTAAAAGTGACCCCATCAGTGGAACTAAGTGAGCTTCCAACAAGAAAGCCATCACTATGGTTCATTGGATTTTCAATTAGAAATAAAATTTCATGGCACATTTGAAAGTACACGGTTGAATTATAAATATGTTCATTATTTTGATTTGCATGTCCTTATTTTAAGAATAAAAGTCGTAAGAATGATATATGAAAAAACGAAACAAAAAAAATGGTTTTGGTTTTAATAAAAACCAAATCATTCTCACCTCTAATAATTAAAATATAAGTTCCAAAATCAAATATTATGCTGTATTATGAAATGAACATGTTTTATTTACAAAAAATATGTATTTTGAAATATTTTTATAAAAATGGTTTTTTAAAAAACTATTAAAGATACCAGTGGTTTTTCTGAAAAAATAAAATAAAAATAAACAATAGTTTTAATAGAAACTAGATTATGACCCGTATTAAATGCGGGGAACATAAATTAAATACATATCACATAAATAGGCGGCTTTATCTTAGGTTGAATTTTAATAAAAAAAATGTTAGTTAGATTCATTTTTAGAGTTTTTGAACAAAACTTATTAGATAAAAATATTTAATATTTATATTACAGCAATTTGGTTTTTAATACTGTAATTTTTAACATAAATGATCTATGTGATCTTTGTTTTATCACAACATAATGCGACTTTTTGATTAAACATGTTGTGTAGAAGCTTTACGAATTGACTTTGTTCCGTGTGCCAACCCCCATGGAGGCTCATATGGCCCTTTTCATATTGTCCATGTAAAACCAAAAACAACAATAAGTTGTTACATGTACCAACAACATTAAATTCTATAAAGAAATTCAATAACCATTACAAATAAAGTGAATTGTCATAACCATAAACATCAAATTCAGACATTGTAATTTGGTCGATTTTTGAAGTATTTTTTCCTTATAAAAATTAAAATATGATTTTTCAGGCTACACCCAATCACATATACATATCTTCCGATCAAATAAATTATTAGAAAAAAAAACATGTTATGAACAAAAATATAATATTAGTATCATAATTTGCTAAAGGTTAGCACTAATAAATAATAATGAACTTTCATAAATCTTGCATTTTGGTTACTACATCCAACTAACAAATGATATTCGGTTTAGAGGATTGATTCAAGAAGTGCATCCATGACTTCTTGTAGCTGAATTTTGGGAAATGTTAAGCCCTATTGAGATATGAGGGAATGGTTTTGAGGCTACAGTTGGTTTCTATAGGGCAATACAAATTCAGAATCGTTAGCACATATCTTTCCTACCCGCTTCAATTATCAAATTTTGATCAAACTTGTCAAAATCAAATTATAAAAAAAACAGATATGTAACCTATCAATCAAACAACATATTTTTCATTGAAATAAATATCATAAATCTACAATTTACACTTTATATATTATTCTTGAATTATATATTACCTTTTCATCTTTAATGGCCACTAACACCTCTTTCTGCCTTATTGTTGTGACACGCATCTATATCGAAAATAAGAGAAAGAACTATAGAGAAGAATGTTGATAGGGTGATACTTCATTGAAAACGCAGCAAAATTCTTCATAAAGTCGCTAGGATTCTTCTATAGACCGCTAGAAGGTTTATATAATGACAATCGGTGTGGCATCCATGAGAACGCACCAGTTAAAATAACAGTTTTGATTAATGTAAGTGAAAAAATCATTTAGAATGCTTACCAGTTGTGATAGTTTCCTCTTAGATGTGAACATTAACATTCTTGTAGAGAAATGACACTTCAAATGAACCCTACATAGCCAAATCAACAACAAACGTAAGTTACACCACACCAGTAAAGTCTTGTACTATAATGATGATTTTGAAACTAAAACCATTCATATAAACAAATTCAATAATATAAAATTAGAAAACCAAATCGAAGATTATAATAATATGTATAAAAGAGTTAATGAAAACCTTGGAACAACAGATACGTCTTTGTTCATGCAAGTTGAATTATAACAATAAAAAAACTTCTTTATCCTGTTTTTGGTCCGTTCTACTAGCTTTGTCATTATGCATTAAAACGACTTTTATGACTTTCTCTTGACAAACATAGGTCAACACATTAAAAAATCGATATAAAAATTTTGTTTCTGTAACTAAATGAATGAAACTAATATGCTTAAAGTAGATTGATTAATTTTTTTCATGACCTCTCAACAATAACACAGTAATAACAAATAATAAGAACATAGTAAATACAAGAAATTGAAGAAGAATAAGGAGAACAGAGTAAAGTAAGAGCTTCGAAAAAAGAATTGGAGAAGAAGATTGCTCAAGAAGAACACTGTAAATCATAGGACTCAATCCAAAATCGTAAGAATAACCACTTCAGTGTAATCATATATATATGTTGTTTTTGAATAAGGAAATCATTATCTTCTAAAAAAAATGGGATCCTAAGATATAATCTTGGAGATTTTCGGCTATTCATTTGGAGAAAAAGAAAGATATCAGCTATATTAATTCAAAACTTCAAATTAATTGACTTTCTTATTTAATCAGTTTTAAAATTCAAACAATTATCTCAAATTGATTCATTTTATATGAGATATACTGGGAGATAAATTATGAATAATATTGACTTTAATTTTGACTTTTAAATATTTTGCTGATTTAATGGGATTAGATTAGATTTTATAGGTTAATAACATAATTATTGATATGCTTGTTTAATGAGTTTTTAAAAAAAATAATAAATAAAAAATATAATATAAACGGGTTTGAATTTGGAAATCAAAACTTATAAATAAGGGAGTTAAAATATGAACAATATTAATTACAGAAACTGATATAATGTATATAAATAGAATGATATGTTTCAATTGATAAAATAATTATTGAATTTAAAGATTCTATAATTATTACAGATTCTATAATTAAATGTAATTATGTTTGAATTTTATTTGCGGAAGATGATGTCAGCAATTTGATCTAAGGGTGAAAAACATATGATTAAAACACAATCAATGACTCTGGTTGCTTCATTGATGAATTAAAGGTTCTCTTTTAATAATATTTAGAGATAGTGAACATATAATGAGTTTTAATTTTTTTTTAAATGCCCGAAAATTAGATATTTTCGTTGTTCTTCCAAAATTAATTTTGTGAATATCCCTAATTTAAACTATTTTAAGTAAAT